AAATGAAATGAAAAATACTTTATTTATCCCAGAAGGGAAATTCAATAAATTGGGACAATAAAGACTTTCTAGTCTCATGTAAAAAACAGTATTTTCAAATCTTAGTAACATCCGTGGACACTTGGAAAAACATGTTGGTTCCATTTTTAAAAAAATATGTATTTGTAAATGATGGAAGAAATGCAGCATGGTTATGTTGTTTCCATAGAGGTGCAGGAGCCCACAGTGAGTAAAAACATGTCCGAAGCCACAAATGCCCAGAAACTGTTTGGAGTTCAGAGGGTTAATGTAGTTTTTCCAACATGACATGGTCGTTAAATTAGTTTAAAATCACTTTGTTGGTTTTGTTCGTGTTGCCGCTGTCTGTCCCGTCTTTCCCGCTCCTGTAAGTGTATCTGTCAGTGGATAAATTACAACAGAAGCCACGCGAACGATTTCATTTGAATTCAATAAACATTTTTGTATGAAAATAAGTCCTCAGGATGATTTTTTGCCTCTGCGTGTTTTGCTGACAGAAACCCGATGTTGTGCCGTGTTCCTTTGCAGCGCTTTACAAAATGTGTGCCTGTGTGTGAGTGCCGAAGCCTCCAAACGGTGTTAATGATGGTGCAGATGGGATTTCTGGCCACCGTCTTAAACCACAATTACAGCCTCCGTTTTCAAAATTGTCACAATGGGATGAATACTTGACTTTATTTTTTTCCCTTTTTGGGTTCCGTCTAAATCTGCCTGTTCTCAGTCACTTTGTTTGTTTTATGTTTGTTTGTTGTTGCAGTGTTTTACATTTTTGGTGAATTTATACACTATTCAGAATGAGAAAGAGGAGGGGGAGCAGCTGTCACTTCATCTCCTCAACATTTCCCATGAATTGTCCCTCTCCTCCTCTCTGAGCAGCACCAGACTCCTCCAGGGCAGGTTTGGTGATTTGGTCATATTTTTTTCTCCTCCAGATGGCAGAAACTTTTACAAGCCTGTCAGGATTTCTCTCTCTGCTTCTGCCTGAAATTACACAGCAGCTCAGTGCGGAGTTAACTCTGACCTGTCCTCTGGTCATTTTAATCCTGTCTGAGGTTTCATGCAATTACAGACTTTCTCACGTGAAACCGGAGCCGGAGTGTGACGGCGTCAGACTCCAGATTAGATGAAACCTAATTGCTCTCATGGGGGAAGTTCAGCGGTTGCAGAAGCAAACGCACAAACGTTTAGGATTTGATTTAATTTAGTCTTTATGGGCAAAGTGTGGCCACTCGGCAGACGGCTCGGTAACCCCCCAGCCGGTTATTTCTGCTCCCCGAGACCAGACTCCGGTCTGAATGGATGCAGAGAGAACCATACGTGTAATTTCATCTGCATGTATACAGACACCAGCCAGATCTGATGAAAACAAAAGCAGCTTTCAAAGGTTTGGTGACTTTACCCACAATGTATAAAAACACAGTTTAGCCTGTGGTTTTATTCCAAACACAGACTACAAATCAAACCCCTCATTCTACAGTGTAGTTACAAAAAGACAGCAGCTGGGTGAGCAGACAGTTCAGCAACATACATTTTCTTGGTTTAATTTGACATCAAATCATGTGTTTTTTTAATGAAGGAGATTTACCTCTTGAGAAAACAAGAAGTTATTCCGTACAGCTGAATCCAGGAGTTTACACACACTGTATAAAAAGTCAGTAATCTTAGTGTATGTAAACTTCTGACTTTGAAGAAAGTAAGAAAACATTTTCTAAAAAAATCGTTTTTCTGGCGTTTAGCAAACAGAAATAATTTTAGTAATCCTAACTGACCTAAAACAGGAAAAGTTTAGACTGATTTAATGTCAGATAGTGAGAAAAAAAGGTTATATGTTGTCTTTTTATACATGTAAACTTTATCTACAGTCGTCCTCAAATGTATTCATACCCTCCCATTAAAGAAGGAAAAAGAAGAGCTGGTACTGAAATAAGTTAAAACTGACAAAAGTAATAATAAATAAAAATGTAATGAAAAACATTGCTTTTGAATTGTGGTTCAACAGAAATAAAAAAATATGCACTACTGTTTAGTTGAACAACCCGTTGAGCCAATCACTGCAGTCAAATGTTTCTGTAACTCTCCATCAGACTTCTGAACCTGTTGACAGATTTTGACCCACTGCTCATCAGCAAGGTGCTCTAATTTGTCCGGGACCGTTTCATTTTTGTTTTTCTTAATTATTCTTTGCAACCACAATTCAAAAGCAATGTCTTATTTCACTAAATTATAATTTAGCAAATTTTTATTTATTATTACTTTTTTTCAGTTTCTAATTATTTGAGTGACTATTGTGAATTTGCCTTTTCTTTAGTAGAAGGTTATGAATACATTTGACTGTATGTCCAGTATGTGATGACTAAATTCATTGTTTTTGCACATGAAGATATCGATTAAACAGTCAAAAGAATTCACATCATCTCCTGTGCAAGGCTAGAAAATGTGGATAAGATTTACAGGAATGTAGTTTTTGTTGCACAGGATGATGGTTACAGCTGGTTTCAGTGGAATTACTGAATCTTCTGTTACGTCCACCTTCTGCCAGTGAGAGTCGTGACACCAGCGCTGCCTCTGTCCTGCTGTCTGCCGCTTTGTTTTTTACACTGACTACTCTCAGTTTTATCTCAAGCATCAGAAGCTTCTCTTGGATGCTTCTTAGGGGTTTTTTTTTTCCCCTCCACTGGCTTCCCTCTTCAGCTCTGGCAAACCAATAATTGCCGGTTGATGTAAACCGTTTGACTGTTTGGGTGAACTAACGCGGGAATGTCGCCACAGAAGGCAAAGTTAAAACTCCAATATGCTGCAAAACACAGAGATTCATCTGTTACTACAGCATTCATATGTGAAAGTCCTGCTTTAAATCTGCTGCAAATGCCGAGTTGATCTGGAAGATTTGAGTGTTTCTTTGGTGAAGACGGCCAATCTGGTGCCGGAGCACGTTCGCAGTGACCATGAAAGAATCAGAATTCTGCAGCTTTA